TTTAGTTTTTTTATTTTATTTATTTATTAGTCAAGCTGCTATTGTTAATATATATATATATATATATATATATATATATACAATAATAAATAACAAAAACACAAAAATAACAGTGTTAGATGATAAACTATGTTTCTTGTTACATAATTAAAAGTTTGGTCCAACAATTTAGAAAAAAAAATACTTTTATAATAACGTGAGGAAATATTTATGTGGGTTTCTCCGTCTAACGCAGTATTTGTAATATCATGCCATGAACTTCCAGTAGCAGGAAAGCAAAAATTAAATGTAATATAAAAGTAAAATAGTTATGAAGTTTGGTGTGATTATAAGTTGTTTATTTATAGCCAACAAAATATAGGTTCTAACAATAAAATAGCGAATCACCAAGTTCAGAAACTCTGTCATGCTTTATGGCATTTTTTTTTATTATAAAAAATGTCTCAACTCAGGCACTCATTAATAATACATGACCCTACTATATGGTTTTAGTCGAAGATTAGGTTCGAAAAAAACCATAGGATAGCATAATTGTTTGGAACACCAGAAAGTTGGTGTCCTATCAGTAAGTGAAGATGCATGATTATTTCTAAACTACATATGGAAAAAAATATAGGTAAAATGTTTGTAAAAAACTTAATATTATATTTATACTACAAACATCTAAATCTGTTAAAACATTCGTTTCATATATTTTCGTCAAATAAGTAAGTACAAACATTTGTGATGACAGAAAACAAAATTTTATACTGAACAGAGAAGTATAATATCACAGAGGGCGCTGTATCATTTGGCCATTATCTCGTTGCTGTTGCTGAAGTAGCTCCTTGCATGTAATGAATGAAGGCAAAGGTATCAAGAATTCTTCAAATATATTTTACATAAATGTAAGTTCCGTGTTATGGGAAGCCTCATTTAGCTGGAGTGACGATCTTCACAAATTCTATACATGTATAAATAAAAATAGTCTATATAACAACCATAAAACTTTCTTTAATGTACATAAAGTCCTATTTACCATATTTATAAACATTCTGCTGTTGTTTTGTTATATATTTACATCATTCGAGCAATAAGTTTGGTTTTAATTTCGCGCAAAGCTACACGAGGGTTATCTGCGATAGCCGTCCCTACTTTAGTAGTGAAGCTTAAGCTACTCTTTTACAAAAGAATAGTGGGATTGACCTTCTCATTATAACGTCCCCTCGGCTGGTGGGATGGGGTTTCGAACCAACGACCCTCAATCTACGAGTCAAGCGCCCTAACCACTTGGCCATGTCGGGTCTTGCTAGGAGAAAGAAAAATTAGACTGGCGTATTTGTTTGTCATAAAGTCCAAAAGCAGAGCAATGCTGTATCCACTGAATGGATCGAACCTCGAATTTTAGCGTTTTAAAGTTCTCGAGTTTTCTATTGTGCAGACAGATGTAAATCATTTTTGTTGCACTACAAACCGTGAAATGTCGAATTAAATACAGAATTTTTCGAAATTCAGTCTATAATATTAAGGTTTAAAAATATCAAAAGAGTAAGATTTTATTAAATTATAGAAGTTTCACAAAATGTCACTAAACTCATCATTAAGCGCTGCAAAAACTGTGAGTACTAACACACACACACATACGCACGCACACATAAACAATTAATGTACTGGTACGGACATAAAAAAATTCAAAATCTCTTAACTTTTTAGCATAAACATTTTATAAAAGAACACGCACTCCAGCAAATCAAACACATCAATTACTCCAAGAATTTTTTGATTTTATTGGTGTGTTAGTTTTGACACCTAAATGTCTATTCTTAAAATAAGCATTTTCAGTAGGTTGCTATGCACGTGAGCGGTTAGCATTGAAATCAAATGACAAAATCGCTAAAAAAAGTAATACTTATATCAAGGCCACGTCATGTGCAAAGAAACCGTGTAAGTCCCCCAATAACTGCATAAAACAGTATATAATAAGTATAAACCTTATTAACATTGATCGAAGTACACAAAGAAATATTCACAGGTAATTCATGATTCACGAAGTGCTTTTTGCTCATAATGACTCCATAATGCTGTCGAACTGATTTATTCTTGATACAAACTATAAATCCATTTAGAATCATCTTTTTTTCTACATGGTTTTTAATACAAATATACAACAATTTCTCTTCAAGACTAAAATTCGTCCAACTAATTGTTAATTTCGATTTTAAATTCGAGGTTTCGCGAGCGACTTTCTATTTTATCTGTTGTTATATTTTTAATGTTGTAATTTATTTGTTAGAGATCGTAGAACGTCTAGAAAGTTCGAAGGATGTGACTTCCACTTCTGCTCTAGCATGTTCGAACGCAAATTATAAATAAGTTCTTATGAAGAGTTGTTAAGTTAGTTTCAGGGTGAGTTGAAACACAGTCAAGGTAATAGCAGATAAGATTACCTCAAGATATAGAGCGAATAGTCAATGTGTTAAATATCGTGGTTACTTTGTACAAGTGAGTTGATTTGTTTTACGTTAGTTAACATTATTTGTAACGTAGGCCTACAGCAATGTCCGGTAGTGCACAAGTGTTTAAATTGTAGAAACGTTGAAGAATGAAATAATTATAATTACGTGTACAAGACGTTGAATTACTTTTTACTAGATAATTTAAAAGAATTCGCCTCCGAAAGAACGAAGTTATAACACTATAATTATACCTCAACACATAATACATTACTTTATAATTACAGTTTTGGAAGTAACGTAGGCCTACAGCAATGTCCGGTAGTGCACAAGTGTTTAAATTGTAGAAACGTTGAATTACTTTTTACTAGATAATTTAAAAGAATTCGCCTCCGAAAGAACGAAGTTATAACACTATAATTATACCTCAACACATAGTACATTATTCGATAATTACAGTTTTGGAAAATACTCATTTGACAATGAAAATAATTCAATTCCCTTCATTTTTAGCGGTAATTCCTATACTGATGTTCTACGTAAGCAATTAAATTTGTTTAGCTGTTTGTAAATAAAATGATTAAATATTGACCTACGAATGAAAAGTTTCACCAGAGTGATAAGAAATACCACCAACAAACTTTTAATTAACAGGAAATGTTCGTTTAATATTTGAGGTGTATGTCTTTGAATGAACTCAGAATATCCGATTTTACTTTGAAGAAAGCATGTTTTGGGTTTTGTTTAAAACTAAATTTATTTTCATTATATTATTTAAAATCAACCAAAAAAATTAATATAAAATCATTTTCTCATGAAGTTGACCCACTTTTATACAAAACCTTAGTCAAATCAAAAACACCTTATAAAGTTGACCCACTTTTATACAAAACCTTAGTCAAATCAAAAACACCTCATAAAGTTGACCCACTTTTATACAAAACCTTAGTCAAATCAAAAACATCTCATAAAGTTGATCCACTTTCATACACAACCTTAGTCAAATCAAAAACAAATGTCGTTAAAGCGGCGTTGGTTCTTACCTGTCTTTGTGCATATTAAATTTACAAGATTTACTGTAACTTTCACTACACTGTTCAGCAATAATCCGGGTTTCGATACCCGTGGTGGGCAGAGCACAGACAGCCCATTGTGTAGCTTTGTGCTTAATTACAAACAAACAAACACTGTTCAGTTTAACATTGCAGAAAGTATCAAAAATTGTAAAAACAATTATTTACAAATTTTATCTATATTATTTACGTCAAGCAATTTAAAAATCAAGCACCGAAAGCTTTTTTTCAGTAACCATTTAATTAAACATTAAGTAATATTTTCACCCACCGTCAAAACTCACTAAACCATCACCGTCTGAATCGGCCTCTTTAATCATGTTTTCCACTTCTTCATCGGTAAGTTTTTCGCCAAGATTGATCATCGCGTGCCTGAGATCTGAAGAACTGATGTAACCGTCACTATTTCTGTCGAAAACTGCAAAAGCTTCGCGAAGGGCCTCTTCCCTACTCGAATCCTTTATCTTCTTGGACATCATGAAAAGAAATTCGTGGAACTCAATTGTGCCATTGCCTGTGATATATATATAAACTGCTTAATTAATGAATGTAAAACAAAAACAAAAACTAATTTGTCGAAACATGTGGATTAATAGCGGAGATTTGTTTAATGAATTTTTAAGATGATCATTTTGTTTATTGTTCTTTTTTTTATATAAATATCACAAAGAGCTTCTTTATTTTTTATTTTATTTTCGTTTTAAGACTGTCTGTTTAGGCACAACGTTTACACTCCAGATAAATATAAACAAATATTTTTTATTTCAACCAACGTTTCGCCTTTGAGGATTAATCAGGGTTAATATTAAGGTTGTTTTTCTAAACTCTTATCAAAATGTGTAAATCCTTCCAGTATGAACTACAAATTTTGAAAGACAACAAACAACTTTAGGCACTACTTGATAAAGAGCCTTGGCCCGAAACGTTGTCATAATTTCTAAACGAATTTATATTATTTTTCCATCAGTTGTTGTTTATTTTTGAGAAGTAATTTCTTTTAAACAAATACAAGACTAGACTAACTTTAACACATGTATGAATTATTTTCTTCTTCACCAAAACGTGTAATTTCAGTGAAGAAAAGAAAAGAGTCCATAGTGAGTAAAGGACTTTATATCACAGAAGATAGCCTAATGTGGCTTTGCTCTAAAACAAACCAATACAAAATAAAAAACACACATACACCGTATATAATCGCACAAACTAAGCATTAAGTTAAATACTGGCCATAACATATTATTATTATTACGATGTTCTTTCGTTGCCGAGTTCTATGAAATTATTTGTGAAAAAAGATAACAACATAATTTACATCCTCCCTAACATTTCTTTACAGGCTTGTATATTTTATAATTTGTACTAGGCCTACGTTTAAAACCATGCTATTTGTACTACTGCATATTTTTAAGTTCCCAATTCTTTAATTATATTGCTGGCTTTTTTTATGTTCAAGTTTGGACAAAGGATTACTTGATGTGGTAGCTAAATATATACATTGTAATGATAATAAACATATCCAGTAGTTAACTGATAAGGTTCATGATGATTTACTGTAGCTATTGACTGTTTGATCGCATTAGTTCGAGATGTAAAATGTTATGTTGCTGCTGGAAATTGCCATGAAGATTTGTTTGAGAATATAGCGAGCGTTTATAGTTTCTGTGTAACTAAATTATCTCTGTGTATTTATATAATACATAAAAATGGGCAAATACATGCCTAGACTAACACACAACTCCAACTAAGCGCGTATAAAATTTTACCAGTAGAAAAATCAGCCTTTTCAAATAAAACATATACGTCTAAAACATCGCTATAAATAAACCTTCGTGTCTTTTAAGGTAATTATTCTACGAATGTGCGTAATAAAATTTAAAATTATGCGTACTGATTTTTTTTATTCCTACACGTCATATATGATACGGGGGTTGGTTGCCGAAAGACACTTCTTGTATAGTGTACAAAGTATTGAATATAAAACTAGCTTCAAGGGATAATTATAACATCGTTTACACTAGAATTATGATGTTTTTTAACTTATATAAAATATAGAAGTAATAAGTCGACTTTTTAATACCCCTACGACTTTCGCAGTACATATTTACTATTCAACAAAAGGTTTGGGTGCAATATACGGGTTATATACTAAGCCGTTTTAGTTGTAGGCTGGCAAGAGAATAATAAGTAATAATAATTACAAACGGCCCGTTTTGAGCGGATTTCTTTTCCTTGCAAGTCTAACATACGTGCTTTTTTGTGAATTTTATGTGTAGAGCCTAGCAGTCAATGCGTAGGTGAGGAAATTTAAAAACAAAGTAGAACAAAACAAATTAAAATAACTTTATCAATAGCAGCCGTTCATTGGGTTTCTAATGAGAATAAAACTGCTTACAGAAGATTTAGGGTGTAAGAAAAAGGAACAAATAACGCGTGGCTCGATGGTTCCATCTTATCTCATCCAGTTTGTTATATAGAAATTAGAATTAACTTTGAATTCGGATGTTTGATAAAGTAGAAAAGGTTCTCCACCTACCGTCTAGATCTACCATCAACACCATATTACGTAACTCTTTCTCCGTCGGCTGCTGCCCTAATGATCTCATCACTATCCCTAGCTCTGCCGCTGTAATCACGCCATCTGAATCTTTGTCAAATGTCATAAATGCTTCTTTAAATTCTTCGAAAAATAAAAAAATAAAACATTACTGTACGCTTATAGTTACAGCATTACTTGGATGTAAAAAATATACAGTTAGATTACATTGTCTAAAATATAAAGGGCAACTCAGATTTCTATAGGTGTACATACAAGGTTTTAGATTATTACTTAATCGAGGCTTAATTGTTTATTATTTTATGAAACGTGCACAGTATCCTGACTCTGGAAAAATTTTTATAGTGGGGTGCTGAAAACCATTGAGCAGAATTGTAACTCCCTGATATATGATAAAAACCATGCATTCAGTTGCTGTTAAAACATATTTCTAACACAAAGCCGGAAATGAAAAATGCTTTAACCACAGACTCCACCAGGATGTTTAGAACATGCTTCATATAACACGTTGAAAGCAAACAAACCGAAAAGTAAACCATACGACCCAACACTACTCATATTTTGTTACAGTAAATTCCAACTACGATGTAACCGCGCTACAAGACTAGAAAAAAAAACTTATATAAAATTTATAAATCAAAACAAATCAACTTGCACCAATATAGCTTAGCGTGAATTGTCGAAAAAAATGTACAACAAAAAACAGCAAACCAACATTTTTTTTAACACAGCAACCTCACTCCGCATCCTTGTATCAAAGTCTACCGATAGTAACGTCTACGATTACCAAGGCAGGTTTGAAACAGTGTTTTACAGTTACATCTCCGAACCTAAAGAACCATTCCTGGGAAAACATTAGTTATAATCAATGTTTCCTACCACCCCCACCTTCCAAAGTGGTTCAGCAGTAAATCTGGTGGGCACAGCATAGGAAGCACATTGTGTAGTATTGCGCTTAACAACAAATACACACACGTATATATTATTCAAAAAAAAAAAGACCGTTTGCACACTAAAGTTTCCCTCTCGTTGAAACCTAAAGCTTTGGTATCTATTTGGTTGGAATATTCTGAGGCACAAATCTCATGCAGCAATTCATCATGGTGGACTAATCCAAGCAATTCCATAAGTACAAATACAAAGGACGTATCGTAAAACTGCAGTCATCATCATCATGTGTAATCTGCTCGAAGCAGGCTGACTGTCATGGAGCGCCATTGTTCTCTTTTTCTATTCGCCATTCTAACACGGTTACTATATGATGTTCCAATCCAATCTTTGATTTTATCCATCCACATATTAATGGATCTGCCTCTTCCTCTTTTTTTTCCATTTCTTCTACTTATGTGTCCAAATTACTCACATTTTCTTTTCTTGATAATAGTGTACTGCAGTACATACATAAATATCCATTTTATTATATTTTTTAAGCACAGAAGAACTATAACGATATTATGTCATCTACTCGGATCTGAAATTTGAATAACCTACTTATAATTATGTTAAGTCCCGACTGGTAAAGTGGAATTAGAACAGTGACTATTGGGTAATCTATTTCTAGAAATGGAATAAGCTGAAACGTCGACACTCTGTACTTGTATTGTACAGGAAACGCTGATGTCGAGTGAAGTGAAACGACCAAAATTGAGAAGTTGAAACGTCGACACTCTGTACTTGTATTATACAGGAAACGCTGATGTCGAGTGAAGTGAAACGACCAAAGTTGAGTAGCTGAAACGTCGACAGTCTGTACTTGTATTAGACAGGAAACGCTGATGTCGAGTGAAGTGAAACGACCAAAGTTGAGTGCTGATTTTGTTTTACACTTACCACAGTGTAAAATCACCATTCTTTCCTTTTTTTAAGCCGCGGCATAATGGCTCATAGAATGGCTCAGAGTCTTCTTTATCAAGTACAAATTTTTAGCTCATAGCTCCGTCATATCTTGACCGATTTGAGATCTAATTACAGTTTTGGACTCGGGAGGTCAAACCTTTTTGATTTATATTTTGATCATGCCCAAGGTCTCGTAGATTAATTTACTCTAACTTTGCATAAAATATTTTTAATTTGAAGGTAGGCTGGTGCAGGTACTGATGAGTAATAAAACTGAATCGGGTATACGCGCGCCCCACGCTTGGTATTGCTGGTGCGCAAAAATATAGCTATTAAAAGGGAAAGAATTGGTCTCGTAGATTAATTTACTGTAATCCTGCTTAAATAAATATGAAGTGCCGTGGTTATTGAGGATTCCATCTTGTTTCATAGATAAGAGTTTTATTTCAGAAGTGAAAAAATAGCTGAATCACTGTAAAGTTCACTTCGCAAGTTCTCGTGTATTATATGTTTAATATCTTATGATGACATAACCTTGTGACGCTTCCTTTACCAGGTTGTACAGTAGGCAGCCAATGACATGCTTGTTAAATATGAAATCATGTGTGAGTTCCCTGCTGTCCATCTTTCATAGTCTGCTGGTCGCATGTATCTAAATACATGTCTATTTGATTGGTTGAAACTAATTGCACATGTTACGTCTCTGGTCGTTTGTTAATTTCCCGGTATAAATTCTTCCCGAGGAACTTCATCGATACAAGTCCTTTCTTAAATAAAACCAGTTTATTCTTTCTCAATACAACTTCGTAATACACAGAATTTTCACAGTCACTTCAACTTAAACACACGCTATAATTCACAACGATTTACACACTTTACTTAGAGCTTGACTCGATTATCTCCGTTATCAATTTATCTGCCGGCTTATATACTAAAAAGAGGGCGTCTAGCAAACGCTGGGACATTGGTGAGGTTCCTCGATCCTTCTAGAATCTCATCACGTGTTACCAGCGTCACGTGACTTCCGCTGTCGTAACACACAGATAACAAAATAAGTAGGGCCGATCATAGTCAAGTGGTTTGCGAGCTCAGACTGTGGATCCGAGAGTTCATGGTTCGCGATTCGTTTCCGCAAAAGTCGCACTCCACAACTTACGATCGCGAGTGCGCTCTATAAATGGCCTTTTAGAATATTGGGATTGTCATTCCACATTCCCCACCCTCAGGCTACGCCTCTGCATACACATACAAATGCATACATACTTTGTACACCATGGAAGCATTGATAGTAACAATTATTTTTAAAAAAGAATAAGAAGGAGATAATGCATACCTACCTACCCAACCCCCACAGTGGTGGGCCGCCAACAGCAAACAAACAGATTTTAAAGTCTGTTCTTGTTTTTGGTTTACTGGCTTTTCCACAAAGCTACTCGATGACTATATATATATACAAGGTGTCCATAATTTAGACGTGATATACTAGAGTCAATAACACCTACCATCAACTCTTGGACCACCCTTTTTCCAACGAAAAGTGAGATTAACTGCAACATTATAAAGCTCCCATGGCTGAAATGGCGAGCATGTTCAGTGATGGGAGTCGATAGCCTTAATCATCAGGCCACGCCAGACAAAATCTGGTCTAACTTGTAAAATGTTTTATGTTACACTTTATTCTTCGATTCTTTTAAATTATGTTGTAATTAATCTTGAAAAGTAAGTTGATGCTCTAATGTTGTACTAGATATTAATAAAGTAAAAATCCTTAAAAAGTGTTGTACGAATTCAAGGTTTCTGATATTTTCATAAAATTTGACTTGCGAAAGCACAAAAGATGGCGAATTTGAATAAATTACAAAAGTAAATCTTATTTTGAAATAAAAACGGAATCTTAAGCTTTTGTTAATTAGGTTTTCCTTACTTGTGCTTGGATATATTTTACTGTTATCTTATAAATTTATATATATATATACTTATACTGTTATACAGAACAAATGAATGAGTAGGTATTGCAATTAATTTCTATTATTTATTACAATTAATGATCACAGATAGCGCTTTCGCACTACTGCAGATAAAATTGCTTTTAGCGTATCGTATTTTTTTAGTTTTCTGACACAGAATTATTTAACAAAAACCTTTATTTCTTGCCACTGTATTGTACATTAACACTAAAGAGAGAAAAGAAAAAAGGATAACAACTAGAATTTTGTAAATGTGTAATTTAATTCATATTTATTTATTTACCAACAAGTTTGATTTAATTAAATGGAGTTCACTCTTATTCTTAGGCCTACTTCTTACCTGCTATTTGTTCCTCTGTAAGCCCGTGCTCTATCTGCAATAAAGAAAACAATTAGTTAAAAAATAGCATTTTTTCAAATCACGTTGATAGCTTGAAAGGTTTCGCATTTATATATTCGCGTTGCACTACCTTAACTCTCTGAAGTTAATTTACTTGCTACCAGGGGCGCTAAGGTTGACAGTTACCATATTTGTTTGTAAGTAAGCACAAGTCCACACAATGGGCTATCAGTGCTCTGCCCACCACGGGTATCGAAACCCGGTTTCTAGCGTTGTAACTCCGCAGAAATACTCCTGTGCCACTGGGGGTCTTATTATGTGTAGATGATAGTATTAGTACACTAATCATGTAAGGACATTTTGAGAATTTTGTCAAAATAAAGAAGAATAACATTTGCCTTGAAATAAATAAATAGTTTATCCGTTGCAAATATATGTGTTTACTATTTTAATCTCCTAGTGAGATATCAGTAGATTCTTCGAGACCCGGCATGACCAGGTGGTTCGGGCGCTCGACTCGGAATCTGAAGGTCGCGGGTTCGAATCCCCGTCACACCAAACATTTACGCCGTGGAGGCATTATAATGTGACGGTCAATCCCACTATTCGTTGGTAAAAGAGTAGCCCACGAGTTGGCGGTGGGTGGTGATGACTAGCTGCCTTCCCTCTATTTTTTTACACTGCTAAATTATTGACGACTAGCGCAGATAACCCTCGTGCAGCTTGGCGCGAAATTCAAAACAAACGAAACTGTTCGAATTGTTAGTCAATTTTTGGTAACCATGACATCAGTCAGTTTACACGTTTTTCAGCAGTTATATAATCTTACCTCCTTTTTTATTATTTTAATTTCATAAAGTCTCTATTATAAAATAACTTATACACAATAGATTCCTAAATGTAATAATAGCAGTCATACGGGTACCTATGTTACGTGAGCCAAACCTTGGCAGAACATTTATGCTGTTTCACTTTATTTATTTTTTTTATTGCACAGTCCATCTAGTATTTCCATGATTGGTTGTGTAAATACCGTTGCTATTGACAGGACGTGACATGTGAAGAAATTATATTCCAAGACAAGGCCGTTTAATGATTGTGACACAACTATGAAACGAATAAACTGACTTGCATGTTTATTACATAACCAGCCTGTCAGTAAGTAGACATCTACTCTAGAAATAATGCAGTTTTATTTGACAATCAAACGTGAAACAAAAGGTACAAGTTCACTATTGATATTTGTTGGACCTGCCTTTTACAATATTTGCGTTGATTTGGTTTGTTTTGAATTTCGCGCAAAGCTAAACGAGGGCTATCTGCGCTAGCCGTCCCCAATCTAGCAGTGTAAGACTATGGGTAAGGCAACTAGTCATCACCACGCACCGCCAACTCTTGGACTACTCTCTTACCAACGAACAGTGGGATTGACCGTCACATAATAACGCCCCCACGGCTGAAAGGGCGAGCATATTCGAACCCGTGACCCTCATATTGCGAGTAGAGCTCTCTAACCACCTGGACATGCCAGGCCTTTACAATATTTAAGAAAATTACACATTGTGTTTACAACTTCTGAAATTCGTAACTCTGGGATTGCATTCCACTTCTGGCGAAGAATTTGGATGAAGGTGTTCCTAGAAGTTGTTTGTTCAGGACCAAGGAACGGTAAAGAATGGACCACAAATCTCTACTGGGTTCGTATCTAGCCACGGAAGAGTGGTAATGCCTTGAAATTCCAGCTATCGTTTTGTGACTCGGGCAGAATTGAGCAGACGCCCCCATCTTGCATGAAAACATTTCCTTGTTGTCTGGTAATCTGGTCAATTGAACCTTACGCGAGAACTATGATATATCAAGCTGCAGTAACAGTCCCTTTTTATATCATCAGTTGTGATGGTCAGTTGTCCAAATGTCACCCCCACACTATAACAGAAATACCGCTGTATTTTGTCTTGGCTTTCAGAAAGTTCAGGACAATTTTTTTAGAATAATAGTCGCCCAACCCACTGTCCGTAGACTGTGGAAACTCTGAATTTGTCCTAAAAGGAAAGGAGATGTGATAGAATTTGTGATGTCCAATGCTGTAAACTTAATATTACATGATATTACTTGGAATAAGCGGTGACTTCCGTCTGCTCCCCAGTGGCACAGCGGTATGTATGCGGACTTGCAACACAAGAAACCGGGTTTTGATACCCGTGGTGGGCAGAGCACAGATAGCCCATTTTGTAGCTTTGTGCTTTACTTCAAACAGACTTCCGTCTAGCTACTCGGTTATTGTAGCCCATGCCAGTGGTTCCCAAACTCTTTTAGTCTGAGGCTCCCTTGATGTGAATAAACAAGTTTGAGGCTCTCAACCAATAAAAATGCCTTAAAATGTGATTCAGCAATTTCAAAAAATAAT